CGTATTTCCTTATACTCCGCCTCTTCAATTTAAAAACATCTTTACCTACGTCTTAGTAGGACTAATCTCAGACAGCAGCACAATATATTGGTTTCCTCTCACCTACAACCAACCTTTTAGCTTTGTCAAAATGTATTATGGCCCTGGGTAGCCATCTCTTAAAGTTTAAAAAAAGGCATGTGGCAGAATGGAAAGAGTACAGGATTGGGGTTAAAGAAACCCATGTTAAAATTCTGACTCCATGCCTTTTTCAGCTTTCTCCTCAGCCAAATGGTACCTACCAGTCAAGACTGCTATGCATGTAAAATACCTAGGAAAGCCTGGCACACAGTAGGCACTCAGGAGATGGTAGTTACTAGCTTTCACCACTCACTGCTGCTGGTCAGCTTCAGTCTTACCAACGGAGAATGTATACAGTGCCATCACAAGTCTAATTATAGCTCAGAATTTAGCTTAGCAGATTGGCAACAATGCCTGGTGCCAGGCAGCAGGCCACCTGGCTAGCCTTGGTTTGCTTAGAGAAAATGTGGACATTCTGGAAATGCATTTAACTAAAGGGCACGTCTCTGAAGTGGCAACGGTATTGTGAGTGGCAGTGGGTAGGCTTTGTGATTTAATAAAACTTTGAAATGTTATGATGTCCTGTTCCTCCTGTATACACACAAAAGCTTCCACTCTAGTGGGTGATTTGTAAGGGGAGTCATTAATAATGACTTATATAATCTTGCAGAGAATAACCATGCTCACATTTGCAGTGAGCCCTTTATATCACTAGTTACAATCAGTGAACCATGTTTTATGGTTTCACCAACCACTTGTATCTCCTGCATAAACGGAAAACGTACAAATGAGCAGACAGATAAACCAAAGAAAGTCATTTTTAAAGAGCAATCCTGGATAAGTAACACAAGGAATGCTCAAGGCTGCCCAGTGAGTTTAGCTGAGTATGTTAGTAAATAGTGAACATATAACCACTTTTCTGTACTTAATAAAAGAAATACATTCAGGAAAGTAAGATCACGCTTTTTTACTTTCTGGCTATTAGCTTTGTAGAAAAGTCATGTTTGGGGGGAATGTTTCTTGTTTTGACACCAAAAACGTATACCTTCTTAATCTTAAAATTTGATTGTTTTAGAATTTGTCTTACTTGGTATATACGAAATGTTTCCTTTAATTAAAAACTGCTGTGCAAGCCAGGACCGGTTTGGCTCAGTGGATAGAGCATCGGCCTGTGGACTGAAAGGTCCCGGGTTCGATTCCAGTCAGGGGCATGTACCTGGGTTGCGGGCACATCCCCAGTGGGGGGTGTGCAGGAGGCAGCTGGTCGATGTTTCTCTCTCATCGACGTTTCTAACTCTCTGTCCCTCTCAATTCCTCTCTGTGTAAAAATCAATAAAATATATAAAAAATAAAAAAATAAAAAAATAATAACTGCTGTGCTACCAAAAAAAATAAAAAAAAATTACCCTGTGATTTCTCTACCCCTTCTTAGAAAGCAAGATTCAACAACAAAGATACAAACAAGAAAGCACCCACTTCCCAAATAGAACTAAACACTGAAAATGTTACCTGTCACCAGGGAGATAGTTCAATTTCCCTTCTTTCTATCAGTCAAAATTCTCCAGTGAGAGCTCCACCCCAGCTGCCTTCGCTTCTCACTATTCCTGAACTCCGCCCAGCTGGCTCCCATTCTTCCCCACCACACGTAACAATGTGCCCGCTCTACATGGGACCATCTCCTCCGAGACTGCCTGTCTCCTCACAGCCGCCACACTGACCCCTGTCTGGTTTTCCTCCAACACAACTGCTCCCTCTTCCTTCGCCAGTGCTCTCAGGTGAGAGTTCAACAAGATTCTGCTCTGGGCTCTATGCCCTCCCGTCCACTCACATATTTCATTTACTGCTCAGGAGCACCCAACTTCTAACCCGAGTTTCAATCGTTCTACTGAATTCTAGGTCTTGCGTTTCCATTGCTCTCTGGAAATTCTAGTGAGATGATTATAACAAGGAATATTTATGAAATGTCCACTATGTGCTGAGCATTGGGAGAAGCCAAAGTACTTGCTTTTGATCAAAGCAATTACAGAAAACCCAGCTTTGAAAAGATGTGGCTTTATTCAAAGAAATGTACAGAAGATACTGAAGCTGTGAATTACTTTGAGATAGTAATTCACAAGGTTTCTGACAGATGTCAAGTACTGCTGTTTCTTAGAAAATTTAATATATTTAAAATGCCGAATGGTGCCCCTTTGAGTTTGTGGTGGCACCTTGCCATACTGAAGCCCTAAACTCATCCCCCTGCATTATCTCACTCAATCTTTAGGGGTCCTGCTGGAGCCTACTGCCACCCCCAGCCTACAGATGCTGAAGCTGTGCAGCTCGTACAACATCACAGAGCTTGTCAGTGGCAGAGCCAGGATTTGAACCCAAGTGGTTTGGCTCCAGAGCTCAATATCTTAGCCACTTAGATATGCTGAATCTCTTGATGCTTGGATTTTAACTGTCAACCTAACTTATCTTCTCCCAAACCAGCCAGTCTTCTTGCATCCTATTTTCATAACAATCCTGGTCACAGACTCTAAGGGAGAAAGGGGACAGAGACCTTCAGCATTTCTACAGTTGGCTCTCCAGTCTCTGCTCGCTGTAGATTGAGGGAACAGGATTCCTCAAACATTTTGTTCTACCTCTAGGTCAGTGGTTCTCAACATTCCTAATGCTGCGACCCTTTAATACAGTTCCTCATGTTGTGGTGACTCCCAACCATAAAATTATTTTCATTGCTACTTCATAACTGTAATTTCGCAGTTACACAGGTTGAGAACCGCTAGCAGGGTCGCCTAAGACCATCAGAAAACACAGATGTTTACATTGCGATTCATTAACAGTAGCAAAATTACAGTTATGAAGTAGCCACAAAAATAATTTTATGGTTGGGGGTCACCACAACAAGAGGAGCTGTATTAAAGGGTCTTGGCATTAGAAAGGTTGAGAACCACTGGTCTAGGTGGACATGTAGATAGTTCTTTTTTAAACTGAAATAAAACCCAGGAAAGGGTATTTGTTTAAAGCTTCAGAGAAGTTTAAAAAGCACGCTATGGGTCCCATAAGTATTTGTTGGATAAATTATTACATTTAAAGTATGACTGCTTCAGGTTTGGACAGTCACAATCAAATACTGACTCATAATAAGACTTTTATTCTAATTATAATTCTTTTTCACTAGCAACTGCTAGCCACATGGGGGAAATTACAAGTAACTCCCTACGACTGAGGAGATTATAATTTTACTTTCCAAGGTACTCAGGTTCAAAACCTTAAGGGGCATCTTTACGCTCATTTGTATTTCTGGCTTCCCAGATCCAGGCCCAGGGGCCAGACCATGCCAGTTTCCCCGTTCGGTCGCTCGTGAACCTGTCTCCCATTTTATTTCTAGCAGCTTTGACAACTGACTTTGGACCAGAATAAGCTTTTGGATTGTCTGTCTCAAGTCTTTCTTCAGTCTAAACCACCTGGTACAGCTCTATCATTTTATTCTGAAATGATCATTTAGAGCAGCGGTCGCCAACCGGTGGTCCGCAGACCACTGGTGGTCTGTGAGGTTGGAAAAGTTGGTGACCGCTGATTTAGATCTAAACTCTGTGCATAACCCCAAAGTGCCCACTGCCAAATCCTCTATTTTGGAATTTAAAACTCTACCATTTGCTCCCAATCTGCGTTTTTCAATACACATTTTCAACAACATATTCACTCATTTGACATATCACAAAATGCTTACCAAGGATATAAGGCATTGAAGGCACTATTAAGGTGACTAAGACAGCCCCTGCGGAGTTAAAACACCTGAAAGAAGCTAATAATTTTTAACAGGGGAAATGGAACCTGCACAAAGATGGCAGTAGGTGCAATAAGGGAGAGACAGCAAGGTGTTGTGAGAATTCACAAGTTAATTCTGATCCTGGCTGGGTTTGTCAGTTGGTTAGAGCGCCCCAATATGCTAAGGTTGTGGGTTCAATCTTCAGTCAGGGCACATACAAGCAACCAATGAATGGTTAAATAAGTGGAACAACGAATAGATGTGTCTCTGTCTCTCTCTCTCTCTCAAATCAATCAAGAAGTTAATTCTGACCGGAGGGTCTGAAGTCTTAGCAGATGGCATTTGTTTAAGTCTTGAAGGGAATGCACAGCTTCAACATGTGAGAAGGGAAGGAGGGCTCAGAAGAAAATGAGCAGGGGAACGGAGGTAAGAATGTGCGGGAAACAAGTTCAGTTCTCACACAGTGCATGGTAGCACATAGTTTTGAGTTTGGGTTGAGTGGCAGGAAATGGGGAATACAGAGAGAGAGAAAGGAGGAGATGCAAGTTTGGGGAGTGAGAACTTTCAGGTAGATAGATTTATCAGGCAGCTAGAAACACGGGACTGGAATTCAATAGTTCTGCAATGCTACTTCCTAAACATCTCTGCCTCCATGAGTTCCCTTCCATTGACATCCTTCTTCTTCTTCAAGCTTTCTCTGACCACCCTACCTATGCTTGACTCAATGGGACAACTACTCCATCAAGAAAAACCATGAATAATTAAGACTGCTGTTTTATCAGACAGACTCAGCCATTGGTAATATTTTATACTTTGTATCATTCCAAGAGATTTACCTTGCTACATTCCCAGTGGTTCACCTTGGCTGCTTATTTCCACATCTATCTACTATTATCAAGGACAAACCTGCTTCTCTCTCTCTCTCTCTCTCTCTCTCTCTCTCTTTCAATCCTCACCTGAGGATATGTTTATTTGTTTTAAAATGATTTGAGAGAGAGAGAGAGAGAGAGAGAGAGAGAAACAGAAACATCAATGTGAGAGAGAACCATGGATCAGTTAGTTGCCTCCTGTACACGCCCTGGACCCATCAAACCAGTGACCCTTCCATGCATGGGATGATGCTCCAACCAGATGGAGCCAGGTCCCTGCTTCATCTAACCCCACCACACCTTAGAAAATGTATTACCTTTTCTCCTCTTTCTCTCTCTCTATCCTTTTCCTCTTTTTTCTTTTTTTTCTCACTGTGCCCATCAGTGTGGAGGCCAGGAAGCGGTGGGGGAGGGGCAGCGGCTGCAGGGTAGGGGACGCTGGGAGGAGGGCCAGGAGTCATGGTGACCTCTCCCACCACTGCGGCAGGAAGTCCTGAACTTCTCTTGGACTTGGAATGGCGTTTCTCCTTATGCTTCTCCTTGTCCTTCTTCTTTTTGCTTTTCTTTGACTTCTTTTTCTTCTTGATTTCCCGGTAGGAATCATCTATCACCAACTCACCGGCCTCTAGCTCCCCTCCAGAGGTTGAGTCTGATTCTACTAGGGCAGGCTCAAGCCCTGAAAGTTCCAGATCAGCACTGTGGGATTCTGGGAACTGGGAGGCATCAGACCCACAGCCTTCAGGGCCAGAAGAGGAGTGTGGGTCTGAGGAGGACTTGTGCTTCTTCCGGGCTGTCTTCAGGAAGCTCTGCAACTCGTGTCCTAGGAGTAAAGCACCTTGCTCATCCCGAGCTGATTTCTTGGAGGGCTTTTTCACAGCCCCTTGCTGAGAGGGGCACTGAAGAGACTCCTCATCCACTGAGCTGCTCCCCTTCTCCTTTGGTGAGAGAATGAGCTTCATCTTTAAGCCGTCAGGCTCCCGGAGGGTCAGCGTCTCGGTGTTCACATAGAGCGGTTTCATTTTTTTGGATTTGTGGGAAGCCCCATCCTCCAGGGACAGTTCCCCACTGTTCCCACTTATTTTCTTCCTGTGGTGGTCCTTTCTGCTCTCCGGGTGGCCAGAAGAACTAGAGGACTTTTCCCCTGACTTCTTGGAGGACTTGGAGCCTGCGGCCAGCGGGGAAGTGATAGCTTTCAGCAGGTCCATAGCGGTATCGGCAGCTTGCGGGCTGGACCTTTTCTTTTTCTTCTGTGACGATTCCAAAGACGAAATATCTAGAAATAACCAAGAGAAGTAGTGTCCACGTGACAAAGCAATTTCCAACAAGTTTCCCCTCCACTCCCCCGCCCCAAACACCCAACTAAACACGAGGAAGAAGCCAACAGGAGTGATGTAAGGGGAGGTCCTTCAACAGATTCCCGACATTCAGAGAGGATGCCCATGTGCTTCTTGGCCTGGTAGACTCTGCCTCTGTCCCTGGAGACAGTTCTCGCCACTACAGCTGTTTCTCTTCACTGAGTCTTCACCAGCAACCACAGAGAGCACACCCAGAGCAGACTGTAGCTGTGGGATCCTGAGGACAGGTGACCCTTGAACAACATGGTGTGAACTGCAGGGGTCCACTTATATGCGGATTTTTTTTCAATAAATACTATAAATGTATTTTCTCTTGCTTATGATTTCCTTAATAACATTGTCTTTTCCCTTGCTTACTTAATTGTAAAGTATGTAATACATATAGCATACAAAATATGTGCTGACTGTGTATGTTATTGGTTAGGCTTCTGGTCAATAATAGGCTGTTATTAGATGAATTTTCGGGAAGTTATAGAGTTATATGTGGATTCTCAACTGTGTGGGAGTCAGTGCCCCAAACCCCCACGTTGTTCAAGGGTCAACTAGAGTTACCATTTAGGTTTACTGCAGGCAGAGCATTGTTTGTTTCTGTGTTTAGGACAAACCCATTCTAGTTAAGAGTTAGTCTTGTCAGCTATGTGCACAATACAGCTAAGAAAAGGTGATCTGGGAGCAGATGTTCCCTGGATTGAGAATTAACCCGCAGGTGCAGGCCAGAGGGCCCAGGACTACTCATGGCAAAAGGGATGCTAGATAACATTGGGCACAAGATAAGTGGGTGATTGGGGAGAGAAGGAACCTGGTACCTGGTGTATCACAAATGAAGATTGTTCTTCTATGCTGAATCCTCCAAAATACCAGCCCTCCACCTCTCTCCTCCTTCACACTGGTTTATCGGCACTCAGAACAAGAACCACTGTCCTGTTAAATAGGCCACTGAGTCAGCAACATCTGGATCCCTTTCCCCTACCCCGACTCCAAGAACCAGAGATGTGTCTGTCCCACCGGTCGCCCTTTCCCGTCCTCACCTCCATAGTAGTAATCATCAGAGGAGTGCTTCCTCTTTTTCTTGTGCGTGTCCGTCCCCAAGAAGTAAAAGTCACTGTCCTGGAATCAGAGAGGAAGAAGTGGTCAATGAACAGGATGAGGAGGCAAAAGTAGCTTGGAACCAATCTTGTTTTTCGATCATTTCTGACTTCGGAAAACGAAGTAAAATAAATAAATAAATAAATAGATAGATAGATATTAAAATGTTGGGTTTTCTTTTTAAAAGCTTTTCAAAAGAAATTCTTTCCCCAACTATTAGGAAACACCATATGTGATAAGTTTAAAACTTTCCTAATTCAAATGTTTAGAATTTACCTTTAACTTCTTCTTGGAAGAATTCCTGACCTGAGCAGCGATTTCTTCCTCTTCCCTTAAAAAATCTTTGTAAGAACGTTTCTTCTCTCGTTGGCTTCTGCCAGCTGCTAGTCCTATGTCCTCAAAGCTGTGATCACCATCGAAGCAATCTGTGAAGCACCGGTTCGAGAAGGAAAGGAAATGAGAAAGTCAAGTCAAGTAAGTAACAAATCACATCTGTAATGCAACTGTCCCTCCGTTTCCAAATTAAAAAGACGGTTCAGTAAGTCCCCTGGGACACTACGTTCAAGGAGACAAGAATGTTTCTTGAAGACCTGGCTGCAAAGACAAGAATCAAACCCGAAGAAGCAATATGTCTAGGCTATGCACAGGCCCACTGTGCGTCCTCAGACACGGTTCTCAGCTGTGACTTGGCAGGCGGACACCACTTGCAGAGATACGGCTGGAATGAACAAGGATTCGCGGGCTGTGCTGCTCTGTGGGAGTCCAATGTGTGGTTCCTACCCCCAGACTCCTGCGCATGGAGCTGGCAAGGACCTCGAGTGCTGCAGGGGATCGCCCCAATACGCTACGTTTCAGACTCTTGTGTTGGAACCCTGTATTGGTGTTCGTTCCATGGGCCCAGGCTGGGGTCTGGGGATGACGTGGAGGCTTAACAGTGCTCTGGATCATCACTTGGGAGTCCAGGCTGGGATGGCCAATCCTGGTCTCTAGGTCCATGGGCTGCAAGGACTGAAGAGGACACACCCTTTGGAATGCTTCTCAGATTAAGGGGTCATACCTTCTTTCTTCACGGCGTCATCATAAGCCATGGCGTTCCTGCAGGGCCTTTGAGAAGTGTCACCGAGTCCAGGCTCCTTCCCGCCTACAGGACCAGGCCTGAGAAACAAAGAAGGAAAACCTTCCTGTAACGCGAAATCACTGTGGAGATGCAACCTTCCAGCTGGAAATGCGTGGTGATCCAAGGGCAGCAAGAAATGAAGGAGCATTTTGTCACTTCCTCGTTCTGTTTGTACACATAGTGGGGTTGAAGCTGTCGGAAGTGCACTTGCCTTAATTCGATTTGATTCATGAATTAAAGTTGTTGTTTGAGGAAGTATATAAAATACCTCCCACATAAAAATTAATGAGAATTTCTGAAATGCCAACAGGACTGATAACACTGAGATAGAGTAAACACCGACATTAAGTCAGAGGAATAGGTTCAACAGGGTTATGAAATGCAGATAAAGCAGGATGCGGAGGAAGACAGATTGACCACATTTGAGACCATAAAGTCCTACCATTTGGATTGGCAGCAGGCTAAAATCTACTGCATTTAGACAGATATAATGATGACATTAAGATATTAAAGATCTTGGAAGCATATATATATATATATATATATATATATATATATATATAATTATTTTTATTGATTTCAGAGAGGGAGAGGGAGACAGAAACATCAATCGTGAGAATCATTGATCGGCTGCTTCCTGCACACCCAGTGCTGGGGATCGAGCCCACAACCTGGGCACATGCCCATGACGGAATCGAACCTGGGACCCTTAAGTCCACAGGCCAATGTTCTATCCACTGAGCAAAACCAGCTAGGGCTGAAGGATATTTTTCTCATGGATTTTGTTAGGCTATATGAATTTGCTCAAATCACAGAAGTGTAAAAATAGGCACACCTCTTATATTAATTGGCCCTATGACAGCTTTCAACACTATCAAGCCTTTAACATTTTAAAGGCTACTAGGTGAAAACAAGGAAGAATGAATATTTGTCAACTGGTGACAAAATATTGATGATCATTAAGATTTTCACTAATCTGAAAAATTACTGTAATATACAAATTTTATGTCTTGAATTTGTTAATATTTTTTGGCATTTAAGTTTACACGACTTTGAAGATAACAATCTGTGAACTATACACTAAGATAAAGTTCTTCCAATACTTTAAGGACAGGCAATGTCACAATTCCTTTGCAGGAAATTAAAAAATTATATACTAAATATACTGAAAATGTTCTCATGCAGTTAGAGAAATGCTTAAAAGTTGATCTTAAAAGTTGATCATTTAAGTTTTATTTTACCTGCATTACTACAATGGAATTTAGAAATACTGAAGGACACTTCAATGAGACATTGCCGATCCCTTTATGTAAGTGTGGATAATACTGAGAAAGGTAACTTTTGTAAAAGAAAAGATGAATTTCATTAACAAGGGAAATTTGCAACTTAATAGCACAGTCAGAAAAAACACAATGCACAGATTTGCCTAATTTGAAAGTACAAAGAAAAAAGAAGTATCACCCAGAATGATTTACAAGATTAAGAAACATAAAAAAGCACTTCTTTACTTTTCTAAGAAGTGGAATGAAGAGTGGACTTGGTCAAGGTAAGGGAAGCTAGAGTGAAGAAAAAAACAACAAAATGAACTGAATTATTTTAAAGATAAACTGAAAAACTGCTTGCTCAAAGGCCTTCTCTAAGGAAATGAAGGGGATATAATGTTAGATCTCATGTAAAAATATGAGGAGACAAGGTACATAATGTAGCCAGTTTTTAATGTTTGGCATTAAACTTTCTCCAATAGAAATTACTGTCCTCCTCTTTCCACCGAAGTGTCACTAAATCCAAAAAGGCTGAGGAGAGGGGGAATGTCACAGGGAATTATAGCCATTCATTTAAAAATAGCCTATCAGCCGAAACCGGTTTGGCTCAGTGGTAGAGCATTGGTCTGCGGACTGAAGGTCCCAGGTTCGATTCCGGTCAGGGGCATGTGTGTTGGTTGCGGGCACATCCCCGGTGGGGGGTGTGCAGGAGGCAGCTGGTCGGTGTTTCTCTCTCGTCAACGTTTCTAGCTCTCTCTCTCCCTTCCTCTCTGTAAAAAATTAATAAAAATATATTTAAAAAAATAAAAAAATAAAAATAGCCTATCATTTCATTGGCCATGAAATATTGAGCTTATTAGAAAAATATATAGATCCCATTAGTTTCCATAGGCTGATAACGCCACGAGATATCGCTGTTTTAGACTTAAAGTTAAATGTTTCCCTTGCCAAATGAATTTTGGCAAAGAGCATTTGAGAAATGGGGAATAAAAATCTTAACTATTCCATCATCAATATGGCCACCATCTGTTGTCAACAACAAAATGCACTTCTATACGAAGCGGAGGGAGGTCCAGAGCCTTATAACCAGGTCTTCCCTTTGGTATCAAAACTAACATAAAAGAGTTGCGTAGTTGTCAAAATAGAGGTAGAATAGACTATGAAGACAGTCTAAGAAAACACTGGCCTCTTATTGCATTATGAAAAAGTGCCCTCGATCACATAACTGACTGCTTTGAAAAACAATCAGTGAATTTTAGTTGTGAAAGGGAACATAAAACTAGAAGCTGATCCTCAAAGGCATGATATGTATTAGAATTAGGACTACTACTATTTAAATTTCCATAAAAAAACACTGAAGAGCATTTTATAAATTAAAGGATTAAATAACCGATAAAAAAAAAAAAAGAGAGAGAATGAGGCCTGAAAGAAGTCCAATTCACTAAAATATTGGGGCAGCCACAAGCTGAAAAAAACAAGAATTAAATGAATGAACTATGTCGCACGGTCAGGCAACTGATGGAGCCTAACTTCCTAAGTACTTTAAAATCAGGATATTATTGCAGCCTAGGGGTTAATTTTGGTTGCTAACTTAAGAAGATGAAACCAGATAAAGAAGTCTCAAGCAACAGTGTAAAAGAAAGGCAGAGTTAGGGCAACACATGTATGTAAGATCAGATGATTTCCCATACTCCTTTGGAATGTTGGATATCATCCATGATACATTAAGAGTTCAGGGTTAGGCAGCAGATTGTGAGGATTAATGGAAATTGACATTAAAGTGTTGGCAAATGAAAAACAGGTGTTAACACCCGTTCTATTGAATTCTAAGTTTTGGAGTTTATAACATGTGCAAACTGTCGAATGCCTTTCTGGGGACTTTTCAGGGTGTAAAAAAGCGGAGGCAGAGCTTCTCTTCCCGCAGGTGAGTATTTGCGTCATGTTCGGGCACAGCTTTCTGGATTACCCAAGGAATTAGGGAAAACCCAAACTCTCCAGTTGTACTTTGTCATCTTCGAAGCCCAAGTGATAAATCCTGAAAACATAAAGAAGTTTCCGAAGGAGATTTTCCCGAGGCAATCTAAGCCACCGTTATCACGCCTCTTCAGCGGAGAATGTAAACGACCAAGTAAGAATCCCGACATCCAGGTCCAGTCCAGGAGGGGCGCCTCGTCCAAGCCTGCGCCCTCTTCTTCCAGAACTCCTTTCGGGAACTTAAAAGGCCAGTCGGTGCAGGAGAGGAAGATGCACGTCGAGCGGCTGCCAGTCTCTGCATTTCTGCTGTCCTGACTTCCTAGGGTAGCAGCAGGTATCTTCTTATTTTTTTTAAATTTTATTTTTTTGGTCCAGATCTCCTCCAAATCTCAGCACAAGAGCGACTCCCGAGTTCTTGCCACTCCCTTCTCCAAGAACCTACCTGTGCAGCACTCACAGCCCCTGCCAGCTCTGCAAATTGCAGAGATGCCCCCATGCCCGGGGTGGGCACCCAACCCCCCTCATCCCAGTGCCATGGAACGGAACCACGACCACCGCACAGATCGGCGGGCAACATACACATGTCCAAGATACACCTTTGAACCAGCCTCCTCCCATCAACAGGCTTTCCTCTGGATCCAGACTGTTTATTTACATATTTATTCTATGAGCAGACATATAACCAGCCACCAGCTTAATTAACCATCGGAAAGAAGGCAGGTCGATGTCGCTCCTCTTCTGCGTGATATCGAAAAAAGTGAACGAATCTACAAGTGAATAGCTGTCGGGGTGGGAAATGGGCCCCTTGCGGAGAAGATCAAACTGGGCCACACGCAAAAAGAGGCCACGCGACGCGGGGCTAGGTGCACAGAGCCCCCGGGACCCCCACTTTGGCGGTCCCCACCGCAAACCCACGGGGGCTCTCCCTCCCGGCAGTTTTGCAGCCGCAGCTGGTTCAACCGAGCTCCATGGAGAGGAAAGGAAGTTCCTTGCATCCTCCGCTGCCCGCGAGCACCCAGCCCCTCCCATCGCCCCGGCTCCAGGCCCCGTTCGACTTGACAGTCCCGGGGACCCCCGCACCCCGGGTCCCCAGCCGCGGCGCCGCGGCCCCGACCCGGGTTCCCGCGTCCCCGGCGGCAGCCAGGCGCCCCCGAGGCGGAGACAGCCCGGCAGGGGGAGGGGCGGCCCCGGCCCGCAGGCCCCCGCGGCGGCCGCACGCCCCCTCCCGGCCCCGCAGCTTTCCCGCCTTCCCCGTTTGAACAGCTCCCGCCCGCCTTCCTCCTCCGGCCCGCTCCAGCCCCTCGCCCGGGGCGGCCTGCGGCCGCTACTCCAGTCCCCGGCTCGGCCCCTGGGCTAGGCCGCAGCGGGTCTGGGGCGCCCCCGGAGCCGTGTCGCGGGCCCCGGGCGGCGGGCGGCGGCGGGGCGGGGCCGCCGCCGCCTCGGGATGGGGGCTCGGCCCGGCCTCGTGGGGGCTCCGCTCGCCGCTACCTTCACTCGGCTCGCCTGGATCCCGCCTCCGCGCCGCCGCCCGCCGCCATCTTGGAGCCGGAGAGAAAAGCGCGAGCGGCCAGGGACGCTCAGTCGAGCCCAGAGCGCAGGCTCCGACCCGACGGGGGATCCCGCTGGGGTGAGCGCCGAGCGCATCGAATGCACCGCGCAGCTGGCCGCGCCCGGGGACCAGTGTGTCCCGGGAGTTGGCGTTAATCCTCCCCGCATCCCCCTGATGGGGGATGAT